CATATTTTTTTTTAAAAATAATTATAATCTGGGCTCTACTTGCACGAGCACTGTTTTTTTTTTTTTTTTTTAAATGAAAACAATAATACTAAAGAACTTCGGATCATCAATCAACAGTTCTTTCTTATTATATCAATACACACACACACAGACACACAGACACACACACACACACACACACACATATATATATATATATATATATATATATATATATAATAAAAAAGGCTTAAACACTAATATTCCATGGTCATAATTTATTCCATTGGAATCGTAAATACGATCCAATTCATCAGACCTACAAATTCAAAAAATGAAACAGAAAAAATAACTCCGGAAATAAAAATAGAATTTGGAGAGTGTAAGTATGAGAGTGTGGGACGAATGTTAGAGTTAAAGAGAGGGTAATAGACAGAGAAGGTGGGGACTAAACTTTATCCTTACTCTGTCCTGACATCGAGTTCTACCTGGATTCTATCCACTCGGAATATATATATATATATATATATATATATATATATATATATATATATATATATATATATATATATATATATATATATATATATATATATATATATATATATATATATATATATATATATATATATATATATATAGGTAGGTAGAGGCACCTGAGGCGGTGTAATGTTTTAGCGTTTGTCTCACTAGAACAATTACGACTGAGAAGTGAGTTCGATCCTCACTGGGTACCCCCTAATTTCGGCCTTGTGCCACATCTAGGCTACGCTTGGAAAAAGGGCACCTCGAGGTGGTGTAATAGTTAGCGAGCTTGTCTCGCTAGAACAATTGCGACTGAGTAGTGAGTTCGTTCTTCGCTGAGTGCTCCGTACTTTCGGCCTTGTGCCACATCTGAGCTACGCTTGGAAAATCACTTTATATATATGTATATATATATCCAGGTAAGATGTTGACGAATAGAGTACAATTCCAACGTTCGTAACAATTAATTTAAAAGAGGGATCAGTACAAAGTAGAGCAATATTATTTATTTTAGGATATTACATCGAAAACATGTCAAAATCGCTACACAATTGCAGTCGTGTTTCGGTCCGTAACAAATGCGTCTGATCAGGCGATTGTAAATTACTGGCGAGTGAACGATTTTTAAACATGACATGTTTTTTCGATGTAATATTCTAATATATATATATATATATATATTAAAAACATTTTTATGTTTAACGTTCTTTTTTTTATAGATACAAGTATTTAAGTAAATGCTCTGTTTATAATAAACAGTATTAAATAACATATCCCGGCCTTAATGTCCGAGAAATTTTCATAGAAAATATTCGTCCTTTGACAGGATTCGAACCCGCATTTGAATGAACCGTCATTTACGCTGGCGTGCCTTACCGATCGGCCACAAAGGATCGTTCAGTTGGCAAGGTCGAATTTACTGCTTATAAACTTCAATCTTCCATGAATCTCGTACATTCATAACTGCTCATGGCGTATCAAATGTAAACAAATAGCGTCATATATTAAGAAATGGACAAAGTCCGACAATTTATTTATTAAAGATATTTTTTATGTTTAACGTTCTTTTTTTTATTTTATAGATACAAGTATTTAAGTAAATGCTCTGTTTATAATAAACAGTATTAAATAACATTTACCGGCCTGAATGTCCGAGAAATTTTCATAGAAAATATTTGTCCTTTGACAGGATTCGAACCTGCATCCTATACTACGGAACCGTCATTAATAAATAATTTAATAAATAAATTGTCGGACTTTGTCCATTTCTTAATATATATATATATATAGATAGATAGATAGATAGATGTGGTGAGAGAGATTAGGTTTAATGTATTTTTGTTACGCATGAATAAATACTAATTTATGGATTCAATTTCAAATCACGAACCGATACCCCTAATTAATGCCGATGAATCTGTTTTTCAGTGCTGTTCCTAAGCAATGGGTGGCGACGCGACTCCATCCAGTCAACGTACTGAATCAGACTACCTCACCAATCTATTTGCAAGCTTAAATAAATAAATCAAAATAACAAACGGTGTTAATCACCGTGTCATTAATGCCAAATTGGTTCCCGCTGACAGCAATGTGAATGATATTTATAGAGTTTTGCTTTATTTGGTGTCAGAACTCAATTTTAGAGCATCCAATAAGGTTTGAACTCACTACACTGTCTTGTCATAGAGAACCCTACTGACAACTAAATTAAATATCACAATATTAATTAATTGAGGTGCCCAATATATACCTATATATATATATATATATATATATATATATATATATATATATATATATATATATATATATATATATATATATATATGACGTCACAAATTATGAAGTGTAGGTTTGTAAACAGTGACTATTACGGCTAATATTATTATGAAATTATTTTCAGACATTTTTATGTTCATACATTCTTTTTATAGATACAAATATCTACGTAAATGCTCTGTTTATAATAAACAGTATGTCTTAAAATAACTTTGTCCATTTCATAATGTGTGACGTCATTTGTTTACATTTGATACGCCATGTGAGATATGAATGTACGTTGAGATTCAAAGATTGAAGTTCAAATACAGTAAATTCGACCTTGCTAACCGAACGCTCCTCTGTGGCTAAATCGGTTAAAGGCACGTCAAGTTAAATGACGGTTCCGTATAGGATATAGGTTCGGATCCAATGTCAAGGGGGACGAATTTTTCTACAGGTGAAAATTTTCGACATTCAGGGCCGGTAAATGTTGTTTATATAAAAAAGAGGCTTAAATATATATATTGTATCAAAAATGCTTTTACAAATTTTGGGTGTGGGCCTCTCACATCAAAACCAGGACAAAAGTCCATATAAACATGTCCGCAAATGCTTCGTTTTTGACTTATAAAGTTAAAGAAAGATTACGGTGAATCGCGCTGTCTTGAAATATAGACTAGGTTACATTTGTCATTCGTGTCTTCAACGTTTTGACGTGTGCGGATACGACAGCCTGTAGAATATCTTATTCGTGTTCAGGCGTAAGAGCGGATCTCAGTCTTCCTCGATTTATAGTGCCACGGATCCTATTCTCAGAAACGCGACGATAAACAGCAGCAAAGGTTGGATGACTCGGCTGTCTTCAATCTGGAAACGCAATCTGATACAGCCGGGCAACCTCGCGTCTATTACGATTCGCGAAGCCGTTTGTAAAATCATATCTGCCTGCTCACGAAATTAATATCCTGCTATTGTTAAACGGAAAACTTCTCAGTAAACTCACTACTACACATTAAACGTTGAAGACAGACTAGCCACAAATGTACACGAATAACAAATGTAACCTCATCTACAAGCAACATAGCTCCATATACCGTAAACTTTCTTTAAAATTATTAACTCAAAAATGAAGTATTTGTGGAC